CCCTCCCTCAATAGTTCATGATAATGATTTTTAAATATAATTTTATGTGCAGTTAATCAGGTTATTTTGGCACCTCAGACAGTTATTTTCAAATAGCTGCCAATCATCTTCAAATAACATGTGAAAACTAAAACCTAAGAATCCAACCAAAGAGAGCAAAAGCCTTAGCGTTCCAGGGTAATAAGCATGTAAGATGGTAATAAATAATGATAACTGTGTAAAGGAAGTGAACAATCAAACTTCCTACAAACAATTTGAAGCTACAATGATTCATACTATAAAAAAGATATTAATATGAAAATTCTGAAATTTAAAAAAAAAAAGTTGTAAAATGTGTCCAAAAGACTTAAAGCCCGTGAAGACTCAACTGAAGTGCTATAAAATAATGGCATGCTTATGGGTGTGGAAATAAGACCTCCAATAGAACAGATACTAGGATTCTAAAAAGTACAGAAATGAGATTTCTTAGACAATTGGCAGGCTGTTCATACTAAACAAAAGAAAATTGGGCATCAGAGATGAATTCAAGATCTTCAACCTAACAGAAAAAATAAACACACTAAGAAGGTATTGGTATGATCATTATTAATGGGAAAGCTAGAACATCAAATACCAAAACCCCTGTACTATTACAACACTAAACAAAGATATAATAAATGAGAGGGTTCTGGGCAATGAAATGATGGAAGGAAACACTTGCAGACAGAACCAGTAGACTCAACCTATGCTGTTGATGCTATGTTCAATTATGATTATCTAAAACTGAGAATGGGATAAAAATAAAAATATTGTGAAGATGAGATTTGGTAATTGGTTCATAGTATGTGATAGGAAGTACAAATATATCTTACTTGCCCACTGGGTTGTTAATGAACCTCCAGGTCTCTAGAGATATGGACTTGTTTCATGAACAAATGCAGACTTACACTTCCAACACTGCAAAGGAAAAAAAGTTTTCGACAGTTTGCCCTTGGCCTTCAAAATGTTTCATTTCACTGATATTTCTTAATATAACTCTAACATAAAGAAGGATGCCAGAAAATAATATGCCAAAACCTCCATATTCCTGAAGTGATCTGTTCAGTTACGTGAGCGGTTTTTTGAAAACTCATCGAAGTCAAACCAAATAAAGGGGACCGTTTTTGGTTAGGTACACATAGAAACAATTCATATTTATCTCTCAACCATTTTTAGTTTTGTAATCCCACCAACTAGAGAATGTTTGCGTGAAGTGATGAGATCATATCACTGTACGTACTTATGTAGGGAGAATGCCAATAATAATAATAATAATAATAATAATAATAATAATAATAATAATAATAAAACTTCCTTAATAAGAAATATTATTTACATGCATAATTTTTTGAATAAAATTTACACTTATAAGGAGTTTAATTAAAAGCAATGAAAGTGAACTTGGGCTCTTTTAAATTCAATATTTTTGACCTGCCCATTTGTATTATGACTTAATTCACACATATAGAAATTTTCATCTGCTTATTTGATATTGTAGCTATGTAAATCATTCGTGAAAAGTATCCTCAACCTCTACCTGGATGTTGATCCTTGGTGCTTGGAGGCATAGCTGGCTGGACTCATCTGGCTGGCAGGAGAACACATTTTGCAGAGTGATGTGCTCTTTGACAATGCTCAACAGTTTTAGAACCTGCCAAAAAACTTATCTACTAGCCTAAACAAAGAATATAAAAATATATTCCTATTATAGTCCTGACTTTAAAAAGAATGATAAAATCTCTTGTATAATATATTTTAATGATTTTTAAAACTGTAATAAAGACCTTGAGGGCATAAACTGGGTAATAAATTGCCTGTTATTTGTTTCTGCTGATTTTTGTGTTTGTGGATTTTATGTGTATACTAGAGAATGCTCTCCTAGCTGTTTGAAAGTACCTTGAATCATTTCTCAAGATTCTTTTACCAGAATGAGAATTGTGTTTCAGGTGGGAAATGAAAAACTTATTTTAAATTGTAAAATTTTTAATTTGAGTCGTTTTCAAGATTTTCCATCTAGTTTTCTATTTTGTTTAGGGTTAATTTCCTGACTTAAGGGAATTTAATGTCAATTTGTTTAATTGATGTTTAAAATACATCGTTATTTTTAATTTCAACTTATAATCAAATAGTTTTATTCACCTCACTTTGAATCCCATAATAAAGAAAACTTTTGCAATCCTATTAACACACCTTGAATATCTTTTAAAATCGATTAATTGACAAAATCCATATTTATTGCTACTTGTAATTAATATTCTTGAGAATTTTTTTTATACTAATTCATTCATTTTATTGATGTTTTATCTTTTACAGGTATCTGTTACAGACTTCCCTCCGTCATTGAAAAATTTGACTTTGAAAGCATGTGAAATATATTTTCTACCTAAAGAAAAATCATATTTTCATGGAATATATAAGCATATGCCAAATTTAGAGGTATGTGTTTTACATTTTACATTAGTAGCTATTGATTCATGTCTTCAGGGTGGCCACTTTCTGAAAAACAAGAACACATCAAGGACTTGCATTGTTCTAGAAGTGCCAGGAATTTTTTGAAGAATCATTTTCAGAATTTAGGGAAAAATTCTTGCTGGGTCTGGTGGTATAACGTTTTGAAGAAAGATTGAAGTTTTCAACTGGTTTCTAACTCCGTAACCCTGCCCACTTCTCTTATGCAATGAAAAAAGTGTTTTTAATTTTAATTTTTGAAATACATTTTTACAAGCTCAAAGTTTTCAAATAAATATTATCCCATGTTTACAAATAGATTTCTTCAATAATACATTTTTTGTTTCCAAATCTGAATTAAATGATATACATAAAAAAAGTAATTTCTAGGCAGTTGGATTACGAAAAATGTTTCATTAGTAGAATATTTGATTTTACATATTGTTCAATTTCTTCAGATTTTCAAAGTAGTGAGGCAAGTTGGGAAAAAATATAAAAATGGTTATCTCCTTAATGACGTTAACACTTTTGATCCTACAGACGTATCTGATATGTCATCTTCATTTTACTGCTGTGTCCTATAGACGTAGGTCATTCATCCTTCTACATTTGTCGTCTTTGACAGATAATAAACATCTTTTGGACATTTGAAGACTCCTAGAATACGCTTTTTAAATAATTAAGATGGTCGCAGGACAAACACCAATGTGTGCTGCTATTTTGTGCAAGTATTTGGAATTTTTCCAGGAAGTGGTTGGATATTTTTACTTGCACTGTCAATTACGTTGAGATTGTCTTTCTTTGTAAGTAGTGGTTATGCTGTTTGCGACATGTGCAGATGCTGTGAAGATATAGCTGAAAAATTCACAGTAACTCTTAACATTAGGAGTTCAAGTATTTTTGAATAATAGATCGGAATTGGATTCTTCTGATGAGGATGTCAATTTCATACCTGGACTGTTATCTAGTTTGAGCCATGAAAATTATATTGTGGAGAGTAATAAAGATAAAAATTATTCTAATGGCGAGTCTTCTCAAATTCAAGAGTTTTTGTTTTCTTTACAATGCTGTGAAATTAATAAACAATCTGAATTACGAGTGTTATCTGAAACCAATAAAATAATATTTCCAGTAAATGAACTTGATTATTTTTCATCATTTTTTATCAAAGGATATTTCAAAAAAAAAGGCAGATATAGATATGCAAATGGCACAATATCTGAACTTCAACAAATATAATTATAGTCTCAGTATTGTTGACACATGAAGTTCACAGTGTTTCCCCCCATACATTGTAATATTGCTAATTTCTGCAAAAATATAAAATTGACAATGTGTTTATCTGAATTACATCTCACTACCATCTTATAATCAAATGAACATAGAATACATAGACTTAAAAAGTAAAGACAACTACAAGATTTTATCAATTTCCAACTGATGTGTGCAATACTTTTTTACGTTTTGAATAACAGCTATATTGCCCAGGACACAGGAGTTAACCTTGTGGTGTAACCCTCAGGATCGAATGTGTTAAAAAATAAAAGTGATATTTAAAATATAGGCTTTTTGGCAACAGATTGGAAGTAAATGGGTCAAAATCAAAAATAGTAAATGCAAAAAATTGAGGAAAATTTTAGGAAAATGTTTAAACATTATTATTTAAATTATAGTCCTATTCTTTTCAAATTTTACACTTTTGCTGTTTTATGTAGTAGTGTAATGTTGCGAAGCATTTAGAAACAATACGAAAACGTATGTGCTTTGGCAGCACCATCAGTTTATTATTTTTGTAGTGCATATATATGTGGCTGTTGGAACTCGGAAGGAGACTGCTTGTCCGCGAAAGACTACGCCAGCCGGGAATATCTGCTAGCGTGAGAACCGCCAGTGGCCGTGAATGAATTTGATCGTCTGCGACTTGATTCCATTACCGGTGTATGGCGAGCTAAAACTCAACGTGTTCATATTGTAAAAGCTGTTCAAAGGGTCGTACACTGTCTCAACTGTAATTCTGTATTTCATGATAGCTGCAGCAAACGTGCAAGCAAATATACTTCGTTACACACTAGAGTTAATTAATTTCTCTAAACATTCTCCCTCATCGAACATGACCACGAATACAGGGTTAGAATTATTCAAATCTGAAATACGGAAACTTTGCAATGTTATAAAATCTGAGTCAGCATTGCTTTCACAGAAAATCGACCTAACTGAAAATGTCAAAAATTCCAAAAAGATATACATACTCTCGCTGAGAAGTTGACAACCGTTGAAAAACCGATGTCGAACTTCTAAATTGTAATCAGTGAAAAATGCTAACATTGAATCTGCACTCGTATAGAAAAACTTGGATTTGAACATATCACCCCTTTGAAGAAGAATTCAGCTTCGGACAGTATTGCATCGACTGCGAAAACTAGACGTCACTCGTGCAGCTATAGAAGAAATCGAAGAACTAAGAGATCAAAAATCCACTTATTAATGGCATCCCTGAATGCAAGAGTAACGATGGTAAAATGAAAAAGAAATAAGATTTTGATATGATCGCTACTACGTTAAAAACCTCCATCCATACTCTTTCTGTTGAAAACACGACAGGAAAAAAATGATACTAGACTTGGCAAACAAGGTGCAAATAAGGGTAGACCACTCAGAATCAGTTCAGCATTTCAGATCTTCTACTTGCGATTCTTCGACGTGATAAAAAAACTTGCCTACAGATATTTCGCTGGAAAGTAACCAAACCGCGTTGCAACGTGTAGCTCCAAACCAACATAGAAAAAATATCTAGTCGAAATACAAAAAATTGACAGCGAAGCAAAAATAAAGTACGTCAGAGGCACCCCTCAAATCGTCTCGGTAAAGCGAAGTTAATCTCTTCAGGGAAATGCCCAAAAGGCAGCAGGAACCAGCTTCAAATTAATGTACACCAGTATTGCCAGCATCGTGTCTAAATTCGACAAATTTCAAGTTGAAATGAACGACCATAAACCACGTTCTATGAACTGAGACCTGGCTTAACCTAGACATTCCAGACCGAATGATAGCGCTCGATAGTTATACAATCTTGCGCAGAGATAGGCCAGACATAAGTGGTGGTATTGCTATATATGGGAAGAAAGAGACAGATGACAACCTAATCGTTACCCCTTAACAACCATAAGATCCATCACACTACTGAAACGCTGTGGGTTGAAATCCAATATGGTAAAATACTCATGGAGCTGGGATCAGTGTAACACCGACTGCGTTCAAATACATTCACTAACTCAGATACTGCTATACTTAAACAGCTTCCGACAGTCAACGAAACATCTTAGGACTTCTATTTACCTACGCTGTTATGGCCCAATCCAACAACAGGAAACGCAACCCCAGCAGCTCATGAATTTCTTGAGACTTTTACAGCCACATCTTTCATACAACTTATAAAGCGGCCTACTAGATTTAGAAACGGCCATGGATAGAACAATGAACCCTGTGTAAAATAAAACATAAGAACAATGTCTGGAATTTATACTGTGGAATTGATTCGCCTTTTTCCCATCAAAAATATAAATTTCTCTGAAATAAGATTAATGATTTTGCGATTGGACGGGAAACAGTGTGAATATAACGTTTCCCAGGGCGAAAAGGATTATATACTTGCATCTGACATCAGATATCCTCCTTTGTTGAATACCCGCAAGCTCTTCATACTAGTACCCAGGCCATTATATCGGAACCTATTCTAATCGCTGAAGGGTTTGCCACGGAATTTCTGAAATTCAGCACAATTGAACGAGGTGACCCACTAGCGACTCTACATGGCGAATCAGCTACCGATCTCCTTGAAGACGTGGATTTCTAAACGAATGATATACACTGCCTCACAAAGTGATGCACCCAGGAGTGGTTGGAGAGGAATGAAACTTATGGTTTTCCCCAACCATCTCCCAACAGCGGGCACCGCCCCAACAAGCTATACGTTTCCGACGATAGTTTGCAGATCTATGCTGGTCTGCGTCTTCGTAGTCATGATTCTCCTCGGGATACCGCTTGCAGCTCTAGCAGATGTATATCGCGATTTTCGCAACTCTGCCGCTGCTGCCAGGTATCAGCTGTTAACCGTTTCGTCCAATCTAGAGCTTAAATCACCGTTACTATGGTTCAGGATCCCGATTGGATGAAACGGTCAACAGCTAATATCTGCCAGGGGCAGTGTTGCTTAAATCGCAGTATAATGTACTGGGGAAGCTAGCGTGAGAGCGACGGCACTACGTAGGAAGCGTGGAAACGAAGGGCCGCGTTCAGGGCCTCAAGGAGTTCAGCGCGGAACGCGCTGTGTGGCGGAGGGGAGAGAGGAAGGTCCTGAACAGAAATAAACGGTGGCGCAAACGCCGCCTAGCACCAAGCGCCTAGCGTCCTCTCATCGATGACGATTTCGGCGCTGTGTTGTCCCTAGCACTTCGCACGGTCTTGGTGGGAGACCTGAATGCCAAGTGCGACGAATGGGGTTGTAACACACCAAGCAGCAACAGAAACTGATAAGTTTCTTGTTATCACACAACATTGTGGTACTCATCCCGCCCTTCACACCTACCCGCTTGTTCACAGATCCTCGCCTCCAACCCGAAATCCTCGACGTGTCTCCTACATCAGGGAATATTCGAGTCACTACTCCCAAACCCATCCCCTTCTCCCTTTCCGATCACATCCCCATTACTTTCGCAGTTGGTAGCATTCGCGCCTTCTGTGGCCCTAGGCACTGGGTCCCACTACCCACTGACGGATAAGTTTCACAATAAACGCACACAAACACAAACCTCGCTGACAGTGGATTCACCAGAATCTATAGACGCGAGCTAACACATACAAACAATATACAAAGAGCCCACAGAACGGGGACGTCGATTTTCTGGCGCCCGCCCGAAGAAGGCTTACATGCGCTTCCTCCAGATGTCGAAGAGCTTCTGCGCGAAAAACGCAAAGCTAGGTATCTTTGG